GGAAAAATCTCTCTAGCTCTCTCTCTCTCTCTCTCTCTGGACTCGTGAGGGAATAAATATATATATATATATATATATTTCTATATTCTAGTGTGTGTGTGTGTGTTTGTGAGTGTTCGTGTTGGCCTGTCACTTACCCTCGCTGGGAAAACAAATCACGCGATTATTATTGTGTACGGTTTTTCCTCTGCACGCACTCGGCTTTCCATTATTTGTTATTTGCCCGTCGTGTCTGTTCGCCGGCGTCGGCGGCGAAATTGTTATTATTGCTATTCGCCGCGACGCCGTTTATATTGCACGCTAAATATATAGAAAAAAAAAAAAAAAAAAAAAAAAAATTAAAAAAAACCCCCCCCACATACTGTTTTTTTTTTCAATACGGACCTCGTAGCGGTGCGATTAGAATAACACGAGGCCGGCTCAGATGCCAAACCGATTATAACAAAATCGTTTGTAGTTTGTATAATTTTGGGTTTTTTTTTTTTTAATACATTTCCACCAGTCAAAATGTTCAAAATGGTCGATAACCAGATTTGAACGACTGTTTTTTTTAAGTTGTAAGAGTTTAAAAGTTTTGAAATTTGAAGGGAAGTGATAAAAATAATACTACACTCCACCTTTCCTTCCTCCTGCGTTAAACTTGAAACTTCAGTAACTCCGAAAATAGTTATCCAAAACTCGTTGTTGACCAGGCAACACGTCAAGTACATTTTGCTCAATTGAAAAAGTTAACGAAACGTATGCACTGAGATTCAAAGTTTCATATCGAAATGCTGTCACTAGGTTTTTTTTTTAATACGTTGAGTTGAAAACGGGTAAATATGTAAGTCTTGCAGTGCAAACTAACCGATTTCAGTTTATTTGAAACCAGGAAAATGGACAGAAAAGAATCCTCTTTGCAGACAAGTCGAAACAGAGAGATCCCGACAAGGCAGTACGAGAATCGGAACTTAAATTTCAATTCCACCGGAAACATCTCAAAATTCAATAATATACAATTCAAATTTATCGAACTTCTATAGTCTTTTAAATTGTCAACAGATACCACTGCCTTTCCGTTTATTAATAATTCTTCTCGACAGCCAAATCAAATACCACCACGACCCTATTGTATATTGTCCATTTAATTATCCGTCCAATTAACATTACCTATTGTTAAAAAATTATTTTTTAATTATATTAAAAGTTCTATTTTATAAAAAAAAAAATTGTTTTATATTTAATTACTTAATTGGGAAACAAATCTATTAGTTGTTTGCCATTAAATAAAGAAAAGCTGATAGTTTAATTTTAGAAATTTTTTTAAACGTGTAATTTGTTATAACGGCTTCTTCTTATTTATAAAAAATTGTTTATAATTTGTATAATTTTGGGTTTTTAATAAATTTTATTAAACCGAGGAACATTTTTCTACTTTTTTTTTTTTTTTGTAATTTGAGTAAAATTTTTAAACTGGGCGATGTATAAGTCTTGTAATATACAATAACTAACCAATTCTAGTTTAATTTGAAACCTGGGAAATGGTCATAAGGTATAGATATACGATTCAAGTTTTTAAGAAAGATTTAATATAGGTATTGTAATGCAACGTGAGTTGTACAATAATACATATTATACGATTTGCATTTTATCTTTATTTGATATCTAACAAGGTATCAAAATTATATTTGCTTTATTCTGTCCATTCAAATGTTTGCTTTCAAATTTATTGTTAACTTTATCAAATTAATAGTTGCCTACTATAAGCTAGTCAGTAGTAGGTAAGCTACACTTAAATGGGGACTGACAATTCAAAATGAAAATTATATTTTTTCGATAATTTTAGAGTCATTCAAATCAATTTAGACTTTAAAATACTTTCAATTTACCTTACATTTATTTATTTTTTGAAATTAGGTTTACCTCAATGTAATAGTCAGTCGTTGTTCAGTGCTGATAGAGTTGCTGCAGAACTGAGTGTTTTCTTTAGTTACACGGGGACTTAATTTTTGTAATTATTACTCATCAAAAGAAAATATGATCACCCAGAAGTGCTCAAAACACTTGTCAACATATCATCTCAATTGTTTTCTGAATGTATCAAACTGTCCCGATTTTATGCGGTTCAGTAATTACTTTAACTCAACTATTATGATAGTCTAATTAATTAAGACAGATCAAATATTTTTAACGCATAATTTTAGATTTAGTTTATATTATTTAGGTACTTACTCGAGTGGATGTATTGGTAGGATCTTGAAAATAAACCCGAGGCGGGTGACGTACCTACTGAATTTAACTGTACATATTTTTTATGCGTGATAGGTACTACACTTTTGGTACTTGTACAGTAAATAAACTATAAATTACATAGGTAATTAAAAAAAAAAAAAATTTTGATCACAGGCCATAGTCAAATTTCACGAGGAATTGATGTCTTGGCGCGAAGACCTACAAAAGACTATTATGAATTTTAATTTTAGATTTAACCGGCTAAATAAAACCAGATAGTGCACTCTAAAACCTCAGGTCAGTGTGACCAAAAAATGTGTAAAAAAAATAAATTTGTTTAAATTGGTTTTATTTAATTTGTGATTGTATTTGGACTAATATGTTGGAAGGGTTAGTGGAAAGAAAAACTTACAGAGTAAGGCCTTGGACTACAATGTATGCCAACAAGTTATAGAATATCAGCTGGAATGGAATTTGTATCAAGAAATGAAGAAGAAGGCCAACAATGGAGAAGCACATGGAAAATTGCTGCAAACCAATTTTTGAAAACTGCATAAGATGATACACTCATATGGTAAGCATGCAATCTGTTTTTTTTTTACGTTTGAGACCAAAAAGCCAGACAAAGCTTCAACAAAAGAAATTTTGCATGGTTTTTGGTGTAAAATAAACCAAAATGGCCGGTAAATTAGTCGACACGGTCTAAATGTATTAAAAACCACTATTTCTTAAATATTGCCTATACAAAACTCCTTAAAAACAGACCGCATGCAATCCACTTTAAACGTAAACGTCCATACAGACACCTAAAACTAAGTGGTTTGTTGTGTTTCTTTGTTTTTTAAATCTCTTAAACCTTAACTTTAAATTTCTAACTTATTCGATTGTTTGCTTTCGGTATGCGTATACCTGCATTGCGAACCGAACTTATCTATTGGTCGAATAGTTGTTTTGTCGAAGCCCTCTAAACTTGAGTAGTGTACAAAGGGTGAACACCACCGGCTCGTAGTCAGTTAATATTAATTTCTGGCATAAGCACCAACAGAATTGATATCGAGTTCTGTATATTATTACGGTTTGTATACTGATGTAATATAACTGTATAGACATATCCAGTGATTAAAGTTAATCTTAAAGTTAAAAAATTGATGAAAACATTATATCATTTTTACACATGCAATACAGCGCAGAATAAACCTGTTCAAATGGTTTGTTCTCGCAATGCACTACTTTTTTTTTTACTTGTTTTTTTTTTTTGTGATACCATATGTGACATATGATTGCGTTTTTTCAGTACCTCTACACCTTCCACTATTTTAATAATATTTTTGTCAATTTTTTTTTAATATCATAAACACAATGCACTCTTTTCATACTCAAAAGCAGTACGAACCAGCAAGTTAACACAGTTATTAGTTTCTTTACGTATTAAGCAGTTTATAAATTACAATAAAATATATTACCTAATACATTCATGTACATTATGATTTAATCGACTACCTACCAAGCTTGATTAAATTCGAGCCATCTTGTTTATTAAGCTATGAATACCTTTTCTAAAAATAACAAAAATATATAAACATTGATACTTGTTTTAGCGTTCTCAAGGTAATTGCACGCGGTCTGTTTTTAAGGAGTTTCGTATAGGCAATATTTAAGAAAATAGTTGTTTTAATCAATTTCGACCATGTTAATTAATTTTCCGGTTAAGTTTTATTTTGTTACCTAATAAATTTAAGTGGTGTACACGTTGTGTCCTTATACCTAAATCTTTATACCTATCTCTCCTCAATAAAAATAATTAGGTTGAAGAATAAAATCTAAACAGTGATTATTTAAGTTCTTCAGTATGAATGTTAAATTATATTGAATCATCTTGTTAGCCGACATGTCACAGGTTCACGTCAAAGCGTTTTCTTGGATAAGTATAATTCTTTTTGTTTTAATATCCGTTAATAACCGGTCTGCGTGTTAAAAACAAACATATAAGACACCAGAAACGTATAAGTTGTAATCCAGCTTGACGTACATAATTTAATTTATGTTTAAATCAACCAACCATTGTATAGTATTTTCAAAACTAAAGTATTACTAAGTAATATTATAATTAAGTAATGTTTCCTAATGCGTGACATTTATATTGAACGTAACTGCGAGTATCATTATATAGTACAGTATATATTTATAAAAGTTCAACAGCTAAATACAACGCAATTCTTTATTGTGAACAGTGTTGGGAATAGATAACTATTTGTAAGCAATTATTTAGACAAGCTCGCAGCTTATACGATAACAAATTATTTAGACAATATATAAGATTATTAAATGTATTAAGATAAATAAATAAACAAAATATTTTTATCTAATTACAAAATAAATAAATTAAATTTTTATCTATATAAAATATATTTTATAAAATAATACACTATTCTTTAATAAAAACAAATTGAAAAATATCCCAATTAAAAATATTAACTAATTGAATTGACAGAAAACTCTGAACAAAAAAATATCATAAAAGAAAAATTAACAAATATTATAATTGATAATATAATAACGTTAAATAACATAAAAAAAATATAATGTATTAACAAATTTAGAACATTTAAGTACCCTTGTTAAATAAACGAAGATGTTGTTATCACTTATAACAACTCTTACAAAACATCTAAAGAAAACATAACAATTCTAAAACGACACAAAATATATAGTCAACATATATTATTAACTTATTTGAAATCAACAATTATTATATATGAATCAGTAATTGTAAAAAACACACTTGTAAATATTTATTTCTATGCGGACATTGTGGTTCTTACAATTACCACTTCATGTAATAATGTATTATCGATTTCTATCTAGATAAATGACCTCAGTGATAACCATGTATCACTTATCTATGAGACAATAAGATTTAGTATCTTTTATCAATGTAAGATCATAGTTAAAACATTTTTATCCAGATAATTTATCTAGATAATTCCCAACACTAATTATGAATCAAATAAAAGTTTAATATCAAAATAACATATTATTTAAAAGTATACATTAATTTCTGTATATTCTAAGAGTATTACATTCGGCGGTACATGGTTAATATTTTTTTTATTTTACAGACATTACAAGTACACTTGTCATATAGTATTCGATAATACAAAGTCGGTGGTTTTAGTGCCGTTTATATAAAACAACAGAGCACTTAGATTTGATCCGTTCAAACGCTTCTTAGTAACGCAAACGAACAGATCCAAATCGATTGTATTTTGTTCTAGAAATTTGGAATTTACGTCCATACATATTCGTTCGACAAACCTATTATTAATTTCGGCCTTTTGATACATATGTTGTGGTTCAGTATGACTTATTAGAATCCGGTTTACTTCCTTTGACAATATTTTTATAGCTTCAGTTATCTTCTCGTCGTCGCGTTCGGATATTTTGCTCAACAAAATTAGTACTTCGTTAAAGGGTTGTTGATCGGTGTAAATAAAATCTAGATTTTCGTTTAATTTCTTCAGAAACCAATCGTGATCTTTCTGAGCACCGCAACCAAGTTTTTGGTAAACAACCAGGTGGATCCATATGTAACTGTACAATCGTGCCTTTATGGCGTCCAAAATTAGTTCGTGATATTCTATGTACTTGCTTGGTTGTGTTGTCCATACTCTCTTCTCGTATTGATCGTTGATGTTTTCGATATGCTTTACGAGTAGATCGTACATATAGTACCAATGAATATCAAGGCCAGAGGTGTCGCCGATCAGTTCTCTGGCAAAATCCCACATGGAACGAAACAAAAAGTTTTCCTCACCGATACGCAATGTATAAAGTTCCTTGTCTTTGACGGAACGGTAAATTGTTTGGTCATAGATTTCTAAAAACGTTTGCAACAATAAATGATCACGAGGTTCATTCATGTAGTGTTTTAAAGTGTGGTCAAAGTGGTCCATTAAGTATTTATTTTCTCGGCACGACATTATCGATTTCATTAGGGTTTCGTTAATTTCCGGTAAGTGGTCGTTTAGAAATGTTCCATTTTCTAACTTGGACGATTGCAGTCCCAATAGTTTTATATGGAGTTCCCAAATCCACGCGTTCACTATAAACTTCCCTTTGTACGACACGTCTATCATATTGTAAACGTACCGGGAAATGTCTTCCAAAGAATCTTTGACGTCTGGTAATATGAACAATAAATGTACATAATTCGTGCACCGTATTTCTTGTAATTTCTGGTAAAATTTAATTTGAGTGACAATTCTTTTGTTTTTCGATTCGTCGTCGGGATCCGAGGTCAGTGTGGTTATTTCAGCGCTGGTAAATATAATTGGCTTGGGACTCAACGTCTTAGACGTGTTCAGTAGTTGAATGAATTCATCTGGATACCGACCGACATAAAAGAACGGTTGCAGTTTTCCAATCTAGAAAATAAAATATTTAATTATCAACAGCGCCGTTATTTAAGTTTTTGATAAGGTGAGGAAAAATTGTATTTCCACACAATTCTCCTCTTCTTCATCTTCATCTTCTGGGGTCAGTCACCCTATCCCTGCACCTCCATAGAGTTCGATCTTCTACATTTCGATCAGTCATTCCAGCTATCCTCAGATCACTTTCCATTCTGTCTATCCATCTCATAACATGACCGAACCATCTCAACATATACTCTTTCATTTCCCCGCAATCGATACCACTCCTAGACTCCTCCTTATGTATTTATTTTCTTATTCTATCCTCCCTAGTCACTCCACTCATCCATCTTGGAAATACCACCTCTGTTACATTCATTCTCTGTTCAGTTCTCTTGTCTACTGTCCAACACTTTGACCCATATACCATTTCTGGTATTTCTATCACCCTATAGAATTTACCTTTCAATATTATCAGCATCTACTTCATCCATCCACAATTTATCCTACTTTCACGTCCTCCTCATACCCAACATTTTATTGTACTACCTATCCTAAGTTATTGAATCTATCAACCGTACACACTTCATCAATAGCCATCTGCATTATCTTTCTTGTCCTATACTTTCTTCAAAGTCATACACGGTTGCCACCGTTTTGTTCCCACTAATCCTCAGTCCTTTTTCTTCAAGTGCTTCGTTCCACCCTCCTAGTCCCTCACCCAATTCGTCCGGACTTTCATTACTAACACTACATCATTCACATACGCTTCAGGCTACGTGGTGGGTTATAAGGAATAGTGAGCAATGATATATTAGATATTATCGGATTATGGCGATTGAAAATGTTGTCGTGGAAGTTACTATAGAGTTGGGTAGCTAAAGCAGGTATTGTTGGAACTTTTAGATCGTTATGAAGAGTTCGGTTGCTGACATATCGTGGGCATTAGTAATAAGGCGAAGAGATATTGATTGAAAGGATTTGGATATTTGAATTTTTTGATGCGCCCCATAACTGGTTTCCGTAAGTCATAGTAGGCCGAATGATTTGTTTGTAAATGAGAAGTTTTGTACTGTGGGAAAGTTTTGATTTTAATTGTTGTCTGATTGTGAGTTGATGGAGCCTGAAATTAAGTTCTTTGCGTTTTACGTTTATATGATAGGGCCAGTTAAGTTTTTTGTCTAGGTGAATACCCAGATATCTAACGACAGTATATTGGGAGATTATGTTGTTATTAATCTGTAACGGGGGACTAATGCCTTGACGGAGAGTAAGCAACTAATTGGTCGATTTGAGGATGCTAGTCTACTGGTTTACCTGGTTTAAGTATTAGTATAATAATAGATTGTTTCCGAATGGGTGGTATATACGAGAGACGGAGAATAGAGTTGAAAATGAAAGTGAGTAGTAAGATGGTTTTTTTTGGGTAGGTGTTTAACAATTTTGTAAGAACTAAGGTCATGTAATTAATTTGTGAGGGGGTAGTATGTTTTGTTTGGAAGGACATAGGTAAGGTATTTGTTAGGGATATCCTGTATATGAGGTGTGATCGATAAAAAATGTGTTAATGAATTTAGTACACGTTGGAAAAATCGTTCTACTCTACTTAAAATGTTCTAGATACAAAAAATAAAATATAAATTAGGTTTTATATTATGTTTTTTTTAAAAATCTTTTAAGAATATCATGAAATTCAATATAATAAAAAGACTGGTCGATATCAAGTTTTGAACAAACACCTTTGGAGTGTCTAGAGAGAAAAAGTCTGGAGTAATAGCTATATATTATTTTAGACACTCAAAGCTATATAAGTAGGTCGACATTAAAGATGTTGTTTTTGTTATGGATATATTTGTTATTTAGTGCCTTGGTGTATGACTTAGAGGTGACTGTTTGTACAAGCCAACAACACGTCACATCGAATAAGTTTTCTTCTTGTTTCAATAAATAGTATTACTTAAAAAGTGTTTTCAATGTAAAAATGTAAATAGGCTTAAAATATTATTATAAGCATAACATTTAAGGGTCTGAAATTAATTCCCGTCTAAGTTTAAAATTTAAGTTGTTAATGCATAGTTATGAAATATAAATGTTGTTACAAAAATTCCTACCAAAATATTATGAGCTGATTTTAGTGGATACGAATAAATGTAGATCCCCCCCCCCCAACCCAAAGTACCAACTAGATAAAATGTGTGATGGATAGAGTAACTATTCAAAGGATTTGATCCAGTATATATAAATTAAAAAAAACACACATCATAGTAAATCCAATAGATTCTCAGCTCTACATCTAAACTAAAATAAGACCTTGACAAATAGTTCTTATCCTTATATTACTTAACAATATTATAATATATAATCGTTTACTTGAATATCTCGAGAAACATTTGAATCCGATATTGCGACGGTTATTTCGGTACCAGTTGGTCTTTGTACAGCCCATTCATATAATCTTTTATGAGGATTATATTCTTCTTCGTCATCGTGTTGTCCATTAACATCGGTAGACAAGTAGAAAATGAATTTTAACGTTAAATAAATAAAGCTTAATTGAAGTCGCATAATGATAAAAACTAACCGACACAATTCGACAGTACTTTCAAGTTGGAAGTAAAAGAGTAGATTGAACAAGACATGGATGTATAATATTTAAAAAAAAAAATCGACAATAGTCATCGTCTAATACACAAACATATTATTTTCGTTGTCTGATTTTTTGTTAGTGTTTCATACTTTTTTATGTTTACAGGTGATCACACAATACACCTACGTTGGATTATGATTTGTGCTAGTGCAAGCATTTTGCAAAATGACAGACAAGGTTACACAAGTTGTCAAAGACTATACAGTGAACGATTCAACCTAAATTGACGTCAGAGTAGGGGCTAAAGAAGCTGTAACAGCGCCACCGTTGTAACAATACAATTTTTCTTAAAAAAAAGCTGAGGTCTAGCTTAAGTCCCAAAATGTTCTTCATATATTTGATGTAAAACCGTAGACGTTAAAATTCGGAAACTACCTTTTAATACCAGTTGATATTTGTTTTATTAATCGTAGTACTGTTTTTTTTTCTATTGGCGAATTTATTATGTATTGATACCTAACTGCGGAGATCAGTTATTATTTGTTTGTTATTAATTGTTAATTTGATATTTTTTTTATGTTTTATTTAAAAGCCAGTAGTCTTAGCACTATAGTCAATAGATTAAGACTACGGCTAAAAATGATGACGGCAAATATCAAACGGAAATAAGAAAATTCTCAGTATGAGAAATTGATATAATTGATAAAAGTTTTTATTAATTTTTTATAATTTATAATAAGGTATTAATTAATACAACACAATTTATTGTTATGAACCAAAATAAAAGTTGTCAAATAAAAATAACATGTTATTTAAAAATGCACAATGGTCAATATCATATCTTTAGTAAAATGAGTTTTATATTTAGTAAAATGTTAATGACCTTTAATGTAAACAAAATGTTATAATCAAACGAATTTTATTATTTAAAAAATATTAAAAGTTTCTTTGTTATATATTCGGGAATACAAAGTCGACGGATCTGTTTACATTTATATAAAACGATAGAATGTTTAATTTTAATTTTGCCTGCCTTTCTTCAGTTTCACGGAAGAACTTTCTAAACATTCCTAATTGATTTCTTAAAAATTCGGGATCAGTTTCACATTTTCGTTCTACGTATTTAGTATCAATTTTGGCCTCTCTATGTCTAATATTTGGTTCAATATAAGTTCCCAGTATGCGGTTTACTTCTTTTGCTAATTTGTCTACAGTATGAGATATCTTCTTGTCATCGGGCTCATATATTTCACTCAATAAAATTAGTACTTCGTTAAATAATTGTTCATCAATGTAAGCAAAGTATAATATATAATTTACATCATGTAGTAAACTTTCATACTCGCTTTGAAGACTGGTCCGCATTTCCGCTGTGTAATTTAATTTTACTTTTGTAGATTCGACGATCTTTTGATAACTAACTAAAAATATCCAAATATAACCGTAAAATCTTACCTTTAAGGCGTCCAAATATATTTCTAGATATTTTTTGTGTTTAAAAGGTTCTGTTGCCCATTCATATTTATTGTATTGATACCTGATATTTTCAATTTCCTTTTTGAATATATCGTATATAATATTCCCTTTAAAGGTGAGACCAGAGACGGGGTTGAATGTGCTAGCTGAAAAGTCCCACATAGATTCCACTAACAAGTCTTTAGCATCCGATGGAAATTGCTCCTTGCCCTTGACGAAACGTAGAAATTTGTCGTCATACACGTTTAAATGTGTATTGATCATTAAAAGTTGACCAGAATTCTCGTTGGAATAATTGAAAATGTCTTCAGACTTTTCCTTTAGATATTTATTTTCTTGACACAACATTATCAATTTCTCTAGGGTTTCGTTAATCTCCGGTGAGTATTCTTCTAAAGGTGTGGTTTTATAACACTGTAGATGTATATACAGTTTCCAAAGCCATTCGCTCACTGGGAATCTTGCTATGTACGACATTTCTATCATATGGTATACGTATTTGGCAATATCGTCCAAAGAACTTTCGATTTCCGATAAACTAAACTTGAAAAGTACAATATTTGTGCACTGTATTTCTTGTATTTTGCGGCAGAATTTAAATTGAGTATGAATTCTATTGGTTTTTGATCCGTCGTTATAATTTGAGTTAAGTGTTGTTATTTCTTCGTCGCTTAAATGAATGGGCTCGGAACTCAATGTCTTGTATTCGTTTAATAGCTGAATAAATTCAACTGGATACTGTCCACCATAGAAAAATTGTTGTAAATGTTCCACCTAAAAACATAAAACACCAAAATGTAGTTTTGAGTATTATTTTATGTGTCAACAATAACTGTTACGTATCAGCAGTTTACATAAATACATATGGTGGGCACAACTTGTCATTCGTGTAATTTGGGTTTCATAATAAACATCAGCGAATATTATTATTTATATTAATCTAATTGTGTTTTACTTTCATACTAAGGTATAACAATAACCAAAAACGATAAAATTGGTTAATGTAATTCATTGTATAAATTATGTATGTATTTTACGGTATGTCATTCTATTACTATTAGATAATAGAAAGGAAGTATCATGAGCAACTAATAAAGTACTCTTTTTCTGGTAGAGAGATAGAGAGCCACCCAAGGCAAATTCTTGGTCCCACTGCTATTATTCATGTTATTTAACACTACAAATTCGCATCATTTAATGTCACGCCATTTGTGGGATATACGATTCATTTTTTAATTACTTGTACGACGTGACAATTGGAGTAAAATAACCTAACCTAACCTAATCTTACCTAAGCTAACCGATTTAGTATAAAAATTCACTGTATAAAAACGACTTATGTCTGTAGTAAATAATGTTTTTAATATCAGAAATCAGAAAAGTTGACCTTTTCGATAATATAATCGTGTGGTATCTGCGAGATACAGTGATGCCTAAAACTCAAAACCCCAATGGTGACTAAAGTTACGGGACAACTGTCATAAACCTCGTACCTAGTCTTAGGAATAGAATATTAAATTGTTATAATTCACAACATAATGAATGTTTGCTTACTTGAACATCTCGAAAAATGTTTGAATCCGACATCGCAATGGCTATTTCTGAGGCAGTTGGTCTTAGTGCAGCAATTCCAATCATTTCTTGACGCTCATCTCCACTAACCTCCGTTGATATAAAAAAAATGATTTTCAGTGCCAAAGAAATAAGCCTCAGTTGGAACTTCATGATGATATATAAAAGTTTTTACAATTCAAAAGTACGTTCAAGTTACACACGAGTGGTTTGAACAAAATGTACACGTATAATATTTGAAAAGAAATTCACACTCATCGTCGCCTAAAATGCAAATGTATTTTAGTATTTATCTTTTGCACATGTTATCGTTAGCGGTGGTATACGATCATGATATTTTGTACAAATTCGCAGTGAGTCGACAGCAACGAACATTTTTTAGGTCGCCAACGATCCAAGTAATATGTTCTTTAAAATAAAAAGTAGTATACAGAAAGAAAACACACCATTAAAAAAACCTTAAAAAAATTACTATATACAGGGTGATTCTTTTAGCGCCCTGCACTAGTTTACTCTAAAACTACTTCGATTTTTACAAAAAAAAATATTTAATAATTTGTTTGTGTATAATATACTAACTTATTATATACTACTTTTTTTTTTATATCTCCCCCCTTCCTCGAAAACTCGAAACCAACTTTTGAATTTAATACGACGACCCCTACTTTTTTCAAAATTTAATTTAATCAAAATTGTATAAATTAAAATGTTTTGAAGTTTAATTTTGAAATTATTAATTTGATAATGAGTTATTGACAATTTAAGCGCTTTTTGTACTTTTTGATATTTTACACACTCGTTGGGTATAAATGGAATATAATATTTTACCAATCCTAAAAATAATTTCAGCGTTGTTTTATTTTCTGGAATTTGAGCTGAATAAATAGCGTCAGTGTGTTTCAACAACGTGTGTAAGCCTCGCTCATCAATTTTATGACCTAGATATTCAATTGATATTTTGAGAAAACAATATTTATTTCTTTTAACTCTTATACCAGATTCCGAAAGATCATTAAGTAAATTTTTTAACCTATCGTTATGTTGCTCTAACGTTTTATCCGCAATTATTACACCATCTTAAAATACACCTACCTCTTCTAAATTTGCAGTGGCAAGCTCCATAGCTTTCTGAAATTCACCTGCTGAATTTTTATACCAAATGGATTTTGAGTGTAACTGAATAAACCTTTGTGTGGGTTAATGGTAGTACATTTTCGGTCTGTCTCTTTAATTACCATTTGTTGGTACGCATCTTTAAGATAACTTTTAGAAAAATACTTTGTACCGCTAATGTTTGCGTATAGATGTTCTATTTTAGGTAATGGGTACTCCATTCCCTCCAAAACTGGGTTAATTGTAATTTTGAAATCACTACAAATTCTTACTGGGCCGTCAGATTATAAAATTGAAACAATAGGTGTTGCCCATTCACTGTTGTCAACAGGAACTAGAATTTTATTGACTACTAAACGATTTATTTCTGTCCCTACTTTACTTTTTAACGCTAAAAGAATTGACCTGGGTTTAAAAAATGTGGGTATAGCCGCTTTTTTAATATTTAATGAAATTTCATAATTATTAAATGTCCCCAAATCATCTTTAAAAAATTCTTCAAAGTTTTTTAATATTTGATCCAGATCTAAATTATCACTTTCATTTACATTTTTATATAAGAGTGAGTAATTAATTGTATGTAAATAGTTTCTTCCTGTCAAAGGAGAACCTCCCTTTTCAATGACATAAATACACATTTTAAAAGCCTTGTTTGAATTTTTCGCATTTACCTATCGGACTTATGTTATTTCCTACATAATCTTATAATGATAAATATCATTGTTTTGTAAAACTATAATACTAGAGTTAGAATCATACATTTTTTTGATATAACACTGTACTTAGACCCCGTATCTATTTCAAAATTAAAATTTTTATTTTCAACTGATAGGTTAGTTGTGTAAGGCTTTATTCTATTTTGAGAATTATGTTGTTCCCTTATACAAAAAAAGGTATTGGATAAATTATACATAATATCATTTTCTTCTACATTTTCATTCGAACTCTGTGGTATAAATTTATTTTGGACCGCATACCCCGCACCTTGGTTTATCTGAAGTTGTCTGACGATCAGCTGGTTTGAACTTGCGTGACTGTCTCTGGTATTTAAGATCGGCTTCGTCCTTCTCCCAACCATTTATTTCTTTCATAGTAGCCTCTTTGGTAGTAGCTATTTCTGAGAGGCTTGTGAATGTTGTACTTACCTTAGAAACATCTAAAAATCCACCGTCAGTTGTTCTCCCACACGTTAGCCGAACTCAATAAACACAAAATTACAATTGAAAACGCGATATCTATATATATAATCTTATTTGTATATATATTGTCGGTAACGTTCAGCGTTCGCACAGATCAACGGAATCTCGCAAAAGCCTGTTATATATATATATATATATATATATAAATATATTACCTGTGGCCTCGGGTATTCCTCAGGGCTCCCATCTAGGACCATTACTATTCTTAATCTTTATAAATGATCTCCCATTGGTCCTCGATACCAATATTAATATTTTGCTGTTCGCTGATGATGCAAAATTATTCTTTGATATTAAATCAATTAATGATGCAAATAGTCTACAATCCAATATTAATAATTTTTTTCAATGGAGTGAACGAAATCTTCTTCCACTAAATATTAACAAACGCCAAGCAATATCTTTTACACGTAATAAAAATCCAATTATATTTCAATATCAAATTAATAACCGTTCTCTGGATAAAGTAAATTCTATCAGGGATTTGGGTAGCTACTTTGAGAATGATTTATCGTTTAAACTAAATCATAGTGAAATCATAAATAAATATTTTAAAATGCTTGGTTTTCTAAATAGAAATACGAAAGAATTCAAAAACACTATTTGTTTAAAAACCCTTTATATGTCATTAGTAAGATCTAACCTTGAATTTGGTTCACTTATTTGGTCTTGTAATTACTCAAAACATATAAACGAGCTTGATTATGTCTAATACAAATTTTTAAAAGAAATTCCTATATCACTAATTATATACATATCACTAGAGACACCGTTAATGTTGTTGAAAACTTTTTGAGCATAGACTCACTTAATACAAGACGTCAAATAGCAGATACTATGTTAGTCTATGATATTTTAAACAACCTAGTCGACTGTCTTGACCTACTATCTGAAATTGGGTTTCGCGTCCCATGTAGAAACACAAGGAACTTAGATATCTTTGTAATTCCTAAGTATAATACCAATAGTGGAAACAATACATTCTTTTCAAGAGCTTTATTAGTTTTGGCCAATAAGATATCAACCGAATTCGATTTTTTTTAACTTTCTCGTAACATATTTAAATTTAAAGCTTTAGAATTAATAACATTATTATAATATTATTTGTTGTCATTGTGATAAGGTAATTAATAAGTTTATACATCTACTTGTCTTTTATACTCATGTTATTAATATTACAATAGTTATTAAGATCTTGTAAAAAGGGCATAGCCCGTCAAGACTTAAATAAATAAATATATATGTACACCGGGTGATACAATAATGATAATACGCTTATTTTTTGAAAACATTTTTTTACACAAACTGAAGTGTCTCCAATTATCAAAACTACAAGAATTACAGGTTTTAGTAGCAAATTTGAAGGTGCTTGTATATTATTGTAAGGTGTATGTTTTACAACGATATATTATTTTGTTTTCATCATCGACGAGCAAAAAGTAGTCAAAGTAAACGAATGTAGCCAAATAACGGTTGAATCCGTTTAGTACTTTTTCTGAGGGTCTAAAAAAGGTGTGACATTAAATGATGCGACTATTGTAGTGTTAAATAACATAAATAATAGCAGTGGAAACAAGAATTTGCTTTGGGTGACTCTCTATCTCTCTACCAAAGAAAGAGTTCTTTATTAATTGCTCATTATACTTCCTTTCTATTATCTAATGGTAATAGAATGACATACCGTACAATACATTCATAAATTGTACAATGAAATACATTAACCAATTTGATCGTTTTTTGCTGTTATGGATACATAAAATAATGCTCAAATCTACATTTTGGTACTTGTTTTTAGGTGGAAGATTTACAACAATTCTTCTATGGTGGACAGTATCCAGTTGAATTTATTCGGCTATTAAACGGATACAAGACATTGAGTTCCGAGCCCATTCAATTAAGCGACGAAGAAATAACAACACTTAACTCAAATTACAACGAAGGATCAAAAACCAATAGAATTCTTACTCAACTTAAATTCTGCCGCAAAATGCAAGAAATACAGTGCACTAATATTGTACTTTTGAAGTTTAGTTTATCGGAAATCGAAAGTTCTTTGGACGATATTGCCAAATACGTATACAATATGATAGAAATGTCGTACAGAGCAAGATTCCCGGTGAGCGAATGGCTTTGGAAACTGTATATACATCTACAGTGTTATAAAACCACACCTTTAGAAGAACACTCACCGGAGATTAACGAAACCCTTAGGAATTGATAACGTTGTGTCATGAAAATAAATATCTAAAGGAAAAGTCTGACGACATTTTAAACATGTATGATGACAAATTTCAATGTTTCGTCAAGGGCAAGGAACAATTTCCATTGAATGCTAAAAACTTATTAGTGGAATCTATGTGGGCTTCTTCAGGTATCGCTTTCGAAGACTTCCCTGGCCTCACCTTTAAAGGGTAATATTATATACGGTATATTCGAAAAGGAAATTGAAAATAAGGTATCAATACAATAAATATGAATGGGCAACAGAACCTTTTAAACACAAAAAATATCTAGAAATAATTTTGGACGTCTTAAAGGCACAATTTTACGGCTATATTTGGATATTTTAGTTAGTTATCAAAAGATAGTCGCATCTACAAAAGAAAAATTAAACTACACAGCGGAAATGCGGACCAGTCTTCAAAGCGACTATGAAAGATTACTATTTCATGTAAATAAAGTATTATACTTTGCTTACATTGATGAACAATTATTTAACGAAGTACTAATTTTATTGAGTGAAATATATGAGCCCGATGACAAGAAGATATCTCATACTGTAGACAAATTAGCAAAAGAAGTAAACCACATACTGGGAACTTATATTAAACCAAATAATGGACATAAAGTGGCTGAAATTGATACTAAATACGTCAAACGACATTGTAAAACTGATCC